ACATAGCCATTTTAAGAAGTTCAAGAGCAGTTTTCACCTTACATTCAGACCCGTAATAAATAAAAAAAACAACGATTAAATCCAATTCAAGAACACGATATTGATACAGAGTATAAAACATCGCCTTAATTATTAATGACTGTAATTTTGAATTTTGGCTTTTGAATGCATGTGCTGCATAATAATGAGGCTCGATTTTGGCTGACATCTTTATAGTTATGTATTTTATTAGAATGAAAACCTTTTTTAATTAATTACAATATAGATTATAAAACAGTTTTTAATTCACTTTATATGAATGGTAATCTGTTTGTTCTGATGTTTGTAAATAGGTATAACTGTCAACAAAATAAAAAGAACGTAGTATGTGTATTTAGTATTGAAACAAACTATATCGCCGGTGAAACAGAACACTCAAAGGAACGTATTAGTTAAGTATTGATATTTTTATAGCATTTTGTACTTAATTTTATATAAATTTAATGATATTACCGAGGATTCCTATAAACGTTATGTAAATGTAGTAATGGACACATCTTTCCGCGTTCCTTGACCGAACCCACGCAACCTGCGACTGTGACTAATATTTAATAGCTTGTAGGCAGTTGCTTTTGGATATTGAGAAATTTGTAACTCATTAAATCTTCACAGATAAAAAAACTAAAATATTTAGAAATATTACGTACCCAAGCTTGTCAGCTTATATATGAGCAAAAATTACTAAAATCATCTTGTTTTTTGTTATAAAAAGAGTTACAAAGGATTTCTTGATAGTAAAAACTCAAAGCGAGTTTTCCAGCCGACAGTTTCCTACATTAGTTTATATATGATGATAGTCGCGCCGCTCGTTGTGTTGCTAGTTGGTAATTAGTAATTACTTAGTTATTTTTCCTCAAGCGCTTGTTTAATCTTTAAACTATGAGTCAGGTTATTTTTAATGAATTGTCTCTGTGAATAAATAATTATTATTTACTTTGAATTGAAGCCATAATGAATTCATATTTGTCATAGTATATGGCAACACTGACAACACCGTTACATTTTCTTAATGGCTTATTAGTGATTATATTTAATGATAATTGATAGTACAGTACACGCTCTAAGTGACAGACGTAAAAGGAGAATTGAAAAGAAATTCTACATCCTTCTATGAGCACTATGCCTTATAATTTATATTATATGGAAGAAATTACGACATGACGAAATAGGCTAAACTCTATTCTAAGTTAATCTTAATCGATCTGGAATTAAAGTTACATATTTAAAAACTATTACAGTACAGATGTGAATCTTAGTACCAATAAATGCCTCAAGCAATACTTTTATATAATAGCTTATCAAATGACTTTAGAATAGTTTAACCGTAATTATTTATTAGTTTTATTGATTTCTTATGAGATACACATTATGAAAATATTTTAAACATCATTTATATGTTTTTTTAGTAAAATTTTCGTTAATATAAACAAATTAAGCACAGATTATAAATTGGATATTTTATATTCTATGCAGTATGTTACATAATAACAGGTAGGTATTTATGAATAAGTCAAATCGTGTCGTCGAGTTTAAAAGTCATCTAACTGTAATGTCTGAACGGTAAACCACGACGATCACGTCTCGCCGACATTAAATAAAACAATGTTTTTATAGCTGAATTTATATAAACTGGAGCAATATGTCCATCCTCCTTTTAATATTGTCTATGGTAGCTTTGATATATAATAAATACTCCTTTCTATTTTAATGTCATTTTCGGCATTAACAAGTTAATTAAATTTTAATTATTAAATTGACTGTTACGTTAAAGAAAGCAAGTAGATATGGTTTTATGTTCCTCTAATACAAGAACAATGGACTGTGAGAATTAAACGGCGATGTCTTCTGTATTAACGCATTGTTTACTTTATGTTATACAGATATGTATCACCAACTTTCTTTTATTACAATTCTTATATATTGTCTATAGTTTTTATTTGAAGATTTTATATTTATGTTATGTCTTATTTAATAATTATAATTATGTAACTTTTATGTCATCTTCAATTGACAGCTTTAACACTGTCATATTTTATTTATTTGTCATCCAAAAAGGTTTTATATATTGTCACTTGTCACATCGAGACAAACACACGAAAAGCAAACAAAATTTATATATTTTAACTTGTTATATATATAGTATATATAAGTATATAGGAAACAATTTGCACCTGAGTACCGGGTATCAAAATTAAGTAGCAGTTAGCAACTGAACACTTAGAATCTTTGCGGGAAGAAAACAGGTTGGACTTGTTCCAATATTAGATAACCACAGTAATATCTAACCTTCGTTTAGAAAGAATTGAAAAGCTACAAATATATTCTAGATTCTAGATTAAACTTAACAGACATACGAGTTGTTGAACGTAAACAATCCCTACTAATATTATAAATGCGAAAGTAACTCTGTCTGTCTGTCTGTTACGCTTTCATGCCTAAACCACTGAACTGATTTTAATGAAATTTGGTATAGAGATGGAGTTGACCTTGACAAAGAACATAGGATAGTTTTTATCCCAGACTTTTGAAAGGTTCTCTTGGAGACGCGATATAACCGAACTCCACGCGGGCGAAACTGCGGGCGGAAATCTAGTTCGCAATAATTGTTATCATTGTACATACTAGTTGTATTTGTATTGAAGCCAGTGATTTGAACGTATTTGTTTAGTTTGGAATGTGTATGACCAAACTGGTAGCATCGCGTGTTAACCACGGGAAGCGACGTTTCCGTTTCATCGGCTTATTGTCTGTAAGTCATAATTATAAAAGCAAAGTTCAAGGTGGCCATTGTTTAGAGACGCTTTAACTTTATTCACTTCACTTAAACACGTATGTCATATACGTATTAAAATCTTTATTCCGACGACTTTTCGTCGTTAATACATACACTGGAAACGCTCACTAAGTAGTGTGACGTTTCAAACTACTGGTAAGGACTGACCATAAATTCGTGACGTAAAAAGTCCTATACATTTAAGTCGAGACTTAATGACATCAGGTTGCTTTATTCGGACATTTTATTCATAAACCCGTTTTTGGTCGTGTGATCTTTATTTCTGCGAATAATTTTATTATTTACAAAAGTTAAAAATGTAAATCCAACCGGATTTCAAGGTCCGATGATACTTTTTTATTTTTCTTGTAAATGAGATAAATAAAAACTTAAAGGTGATGTATTTTTATCTTCTGTTTTTTTTTTATTTTATGTTATCTATCTTGTATAATGTACCGTTTCATAAATAGTAATATTACATATAAAAATATTATGAACGTAAAAGATAATATTTTAAGGATTGATTGTCTCTATTAAAACATAGCATGACTTAACCAGCAATGACACCATTTTGAAACGATAAGTTCAAGATATTTGCATAACTCTTTACGTAATGTGAGTGGGTGATTGACGTGTTACGGCAATTTATGTTCAGTTAACATAACACAAGGATTAGAATTCAATAATAGGATATGTTTTAAGTTATTCACGGTGATCGTAAGTCACAAACTGAAGAGATAAATTTCATTAATTTTATTATTTGGTATTAAAAAATATATACTGAACTTGCAATGGAATCTCTATCAAATAATGCGTACACAAGATAGTATCAGGTTTTTTCATCATCTGTGGGTTCGTTTTAACAAATCTCGTAAGCAGAAGGCTCGATTCAAAAGGATCTTTCAATAATAGATGCAAAAAAGTTACTAAAGTAACTTATTTTTTATTTCTATTAATATAAATATGTATATACAAGCAAACAAATTGGCGGGCTCAGCCAGTATTAAACAAAAACCGATTCTCATATTTTATTTAGAATTAAATGACTATTTAATACATTATACTCATAATATTAATTAAAATATTATCTTATCATTTGGAGATAAAATATCCCAGCCATATTTAAAAAGGTAGGAATCAATCCGCTTGTAACTTATTATATATATATATTTTTTAATCTGTGTCACGGCCGTGACATAATGGCTGACAGCTGACTCGCGTGACTTCACCCGCTCCAAAATATTTGGAGTCGACGTTAAAATTAGTTAACGTTTAAACTTTTGTTGTTTCATTTGAAACTCGACGGGTTTAGGATGTTCGTGAAATTAAAAATATCATTTCATGTTCAAAAATTGATTTTATTTTCCAGTCAATATAAAAAAAAACACGTCGCCCTTAAATATAAAACCAAAAAGATGAAGCGAATACAGAACAACTTTCAATTATTGAAACTTAAAAACACAGAAATATACAGAGTAATTAAAAAAACATCTTATTTCATATTATTATTCTCTGCATAAAAATAACTATTATTAAAATATTTCAATGTAATTAAGTTTCAAATCTAGAATCAAAAGTAACGACATTTTCATATTGTACAAGTATAGCAATTTTTTTTTGCAGGAAGTCAATTTGATATTTTGAAATTCGATATTAGAAATATATGTATAGATTAAAATTAACTCCTTAGCTTATTATAAATTATTGTAAACATTAAATACATGTTTCAACCATTTCTTTATAATACACAATTAAATTATAATAAGTATTAAGAGGTATGATAATACAATAAACTGTAAGCAAAGTCGCAGCAATAACATAGGTAATGCTAATGAATTTAAAATTCATCCCCTAATACAAAGATAATAAAAAAACTGCATATATAGTAATGTTTTTGTACTTCACAAGGAACGAAAATGGACAAACAATATCACAGAACACATAAAATCCCACATAACGAAAAAAAAATGCAGATTTCATCTTCATACAAACATCGGTATATAAAGTTACAACTACTGTAGTGAGGGTTGCCACTTTATAGTTTCATTGAGCTAAATAAAAAACAATCATCATAATAAAAGTCCGAGGTATTGCCGGAGACTATGACTAAGAAGTACAAAAGGGCAACCCTAACTTTAATTTCTTACATTTTAATACATATCTAGCACATAACATACTGGCCACTTACTTATATACGAAACATTTGAAACAAATCATAATTTGTAAGATTCACGAGCCCTGTGTGTCCGTTTATCATGCAGTAGTACTCCGCACCCATAATGTATGAGAGCACCGCAAAGCCAACCATACTGCCTAGAGTCGCTGACTTTGGAAGAAGGATACCTGTCGCTATCAGCAGACCTATGTATGTCATGAACCTATGAGAAACAATAACATTATTAGTAGGACAACCATTTATATCATATGTTTAAAATTCCCTGCTTATAGCCACCCATAGCCACCCATTATGTGATGTGTTCCCATTCAAGCAATTTATACAGTGTTATAATATAGTGTTCTGTATTACCAACTCGTATAAAGCATGCATACCAACAGCATAATATGAAAACCCATTTGTAATGTTGGTACATATATATTACATATATAAATATGAATAAATAATTTCATACATAATAAACATGGTATCAATATTTGAATCAATAGTTCATAGTTTTTACTAATTGATGTGAGCCACTGAGTTAACCTAGAATAAAAAACCCGCCACCAAAAATAATATCAAATTACCTATTATAAAGATCACACTCAATCATTACAGCTCTTCATTTCTGGAAGAAATCAAATCATTAAAGAAAATTGTTCTAAACAAACTAAAAATATAATCAATTATGAGGTACAAACCTGGTGGAAGTCAAAGTTTCGTTTGTGTCCTCGCCTTTATCTGAGACACAGAATTCTCCTTTCTTTGAATATCCTTTGGCACATCTCTTGCACATGTCTGGCCCATCTCCGTAACATTCTTTGCATGATTTATCACACTTCATACAAGCATATGAACCGAGCGAGTTTAAGCAGAACTCATTATCCTTGCATTTGTTAGCTTCGTCACATTCATTAATATCGGCACAACCATCTTCGACGCTAAAAACAAAGCCAGGTTTACATGAAGCACAGTCTCTCTGTGTCCCACCCTTACATCCTCCTGCACAAGACATATGGCACTTGGAACAGAGCATTTTATTATCATCTTTATATGATATGTGGTAATTTATAGCACATTGATCACACTCTTCACCAATATACCCTTCATCACAGAGGCATGTGCCGTTGCCCTTTCTTGTACCATCGCCCCTACATTTCCCATTGCCATTACACAAGTTCTCATGGTTTCCGGCACAAGGTAAACAATCTTTTCCATAGTGATGTTTCGGACAACACACTTCCAATTTATCAATACAGATATATGAATACAAATCGGTCGATTCATCAGCATTTTGACTCCACCATTCCTCTATATACTCTTCCGCCTTTTCCGCCATGAGGTGACATTGAACTGAGTACTTTGTCTCCTCTTTACAAATTCCTTCTTGTATATCTACTAAGCGCATTTCACTCCGTTTGTACGACTTTTTTAGCTTCTCTTCTTCCCATGCAGCATCACCACCTTCGTATTTCCCTCTTGCCGTCCTTTCTAAGCCTTTCGTGAATGATTCGATGAATATTTTACACGAATGACATGCTCCGATACTCTTGGGTACAGTAAACAAACCAGGGTTAACAGCCGGCGGTTGAACAGTGCACGCAACGGAAGACAGAGTCATGAATGTAGTTATAAAGTTAAACATATGGTGTTTATTCATTTTCATATAATACTAAGCCTAAAACAAAAAAATACTATCTTCAGTTTTGTTTCAACACAATTTTTTTATTGAAAATATCAAAATATTCTCACCTAAAACCACCAACACAGTTACAAACACGATTTAAACGGCTTGTGATTAAAATTTATTAAAATAAATTAATTTAAGTTTGTAAAACTAGAACGCACCATATATTATGTGAACTTTGAATAAAATTTCTTCTTTAATAAACCTATAAAATACTGACGTGTATTATTCTCACTCGTTAGTCGTTCGTAGTTTGACAAGTCGCGAAACTCAGCTGTGCTGTCGTTATTGACGTTCACTACACACCGTTTCTTTCCACGCATTATTAATATAAATTTTTAAGATAAATCTATTACTTTTTGCAATTGATACATAGAAACAATAATAGGTTTTTTGCTTATTTTTTGTTAATGCAATCAGTTTATAAGAAAGGAAAATACTTTTTTAAATTTTAAAATTGTAGTAAATCACCAAAATATATTAGTCTATTTATTGCAAGTCACATAACAGCTCGTGCGAAATATGGGTAAAATAAAAGGGGCTCGGCAGAATAGTCAAACCCATTGTGAAATGTAATGGCGCCAACGCTTACCTATCATTAACTTCCCCATTATAATTATTCCGCATTATCTCTATTTTTATATTATCAAAATTATTAAAAAAAAACTTGATTATTTTCCCTTCATAGAATAAAAAAGCAGTTCGATAACTACCGACCAAAAAAAAACACATAGCTTCCATATTATATCTTTAAAAAAGGTTTTCGTGATAATCTTTTTTATTGTAAGTTATTACATTTTTTTCATTTCTCAAATAGTACAATTTAAGTATTTTAGAAAGTTGTGAAAAGTTACCTTCAGCTTATAGTATTTTAAAATATAATAAGATAGTGCTTATAAAACTTTCATAACATATTAAAGCACAATGAGATAATAATATGAAATGCAATAACTTTCGCTTTTTAGGTAATAAAAACAAAATAACTCGCGAACATCTCACACACGAAAAATGTGGGGCGTAACGAAAATAAAGAATGATCGATAATGTCAGATATCGGAACTTCGATTATTGTGGTACGAATTATAAATCATTTTTATCCCAAGACTGCATTATGTATTCGCAAAATAATTTTTCATATTTTACAAGTATATATTTACATAAAAGATTTTGACTTTCGCGAGTATTCATTTAAATTAAACTAATTATTTTGGAATTATCAGTCACTGTCACTGAAGTCACTACGTAATTTTATTATTATAGACGCGTACATCTCATCTGCCCGTGATAAAAATTGCTGCAGAGTAACCGAAACCTCAGAAGTGGGTATGTAGTTTTTAAAAATAATAAAAAACGCTTAGTAATCCGAAAATATTATTTTCATTTATATTTTTGGCTTTTGCATACCTATTTGAGATTTAAAAGCGTTTTTGTTTATTTTCATGTAAATGACTCGAGTTTAGGAATTTATTTTTACAACAAAAAATCTCTGCTCGTTTGTTATATTTAGATATTAAAAGTATTTTACAGTTTTCTGAAAGTTATCTTTCTATTCACATATTAACACAAAATTATACTTAAAATAAAAAATTCTTGTTAATATTAAATTACTGTTGATTCCGATTTAATTTGATTTATAAATGTAATAACATTAACAGAGCTAGAAAATACTTAGAGAACAATATCATGTTTCCAAGTCTTGACAAAGAACTTAACGTGTACATAATTATGGCAGCACACTTGCATAACTTCCTACTTTCACTGTAACAAAGAGTTCAAAGCTAAATCTCAACGTGTTTTTAAAAGAAATTAGTTAAAATAAGTAAACAATAAAAAGATTTGAAGCATTATTTTTGATATTTTACAATAATTCTACAGATAAATAATAAAAGTATTAAAAAAAATAAGAAATAGTAAAACCATTTCTTAATAGTCGTAAAAAAATAATACGAAGTATTCTTCATTCATTCAGACATTTCATTTGCTGGACACGACAAACAATACGGTGAGTATAAAACATACATGATAATGCAAAACAGAAATACCATCGAGAACTTACAATTGTATTAATACTATAAACCATTACTAAAAACAAAGTAGTAAAAGTAAGAACGCGCGGCTGAATACTGGGACCATATAATGCTCTTCAACTGAACTAAGGTTGTCACTTCACTTGACTTTGACGTGTCTAACGCAATCTACTAGCTATTCAAATTTGACGTTTACAATTTAAAATTTAATAGTGATTGGTTAATTTAATATATTCTTATTTATTTATATTATGATTTATATGATTTGATTGTATTGAAAATATAATAAATTTAATAATTAAAACCAAATAAATATATATTTATATAAATATATCTATTTTTTATTTTCTTTTTTTTAAATTTAAATTCGTTTTGCGTCATCCCTATTTTACATGTCATGTGAAGCAGAGACCTCTGTGTACGTCCTACGGTACTATTTCTATACACCGCAGTTTATACGGACCATTTGGCACAATAAATAAAAGTAAAAAACAGCTAGGGAATTTGTAATTTGAACTTGATATCATAATATCGTATCTTCGTGCGTTATGTTACGAGCTGTGAAAAATATAGGCGTTTGAAAACTTGTTACAGAACACAGATAATATTGACTGCTTTAATAAATAATATTTATTAATGTTTAACATTCTGCTTCGATAAAAAAGAATTTATATAAATATATACAAGTGTAGTGTATGAATTTTAGATCTTATATTGATTCATTTGAACCTCATTTAAATAAAGGTAAAATGATTGTAAAACCTCCAATATCAATTTGCTTTTAATTACCTATTATATAACAACTACTTATTTTTTAATTTAAGAAGTCTGTTCATTAATTCAGTCTACTCACTACTGTCTTATGATATATGTATATACAGCTAAAAAGACAATACAAAAGTCAAAGAAAATATTTCTTTTGAAAAAAGAAAATACGTACATAGCATGTTTATTGCAAGTATGAAGAAAATTATGACAATTATAAAAAAAAACAAACAGCCAACTAATTGCTGAAATATCTTTCTTTCTTTAAAAAAGCGTTAAGTACGGAAAAAAATCATAAAGCCGCATATAAGTGCGTAGAATTCTTGATATGGCAACATTAGTGGCTATTAAACAAAGATAAAAAATAGATTACATGAAACACAGAATAGTAATTAAACTCGGGATGAAGAACTCATTTGCTCGCTCGGACGCGGTTAAGCAATCACTATAAGTTTTATGTAGTTTTACACACATTTTTATTTTAAATACTTACAACTCAAAGATAATTTTAAAAAATCGTTAATATTTTTAAAGATTTTGTGTTAAGATTTTTGAAAATGTATAGTAAACTTTAAATATCGAAATTAAAGACATAATTGGATATTTTTGTACGCGTATTTCTTCATATTTTAGTTTTATTAACACGCGGTATGCCATAGATATAAATGTAATTAAGTTTTTAATTGAAATTATATTAAAGCACCGATCGAAAACGTACAGCCGTCTGAATGCCAATTACTAAACTCCATGAATAATTAACATGGGATCAATTGAACGTTACTTAATTGATTTATTTTATATCTGTGCGTCATAATTCAACTTAGATCATCCTTTTTTTTTAAAAAAACTAACATTATTATCAAATTTCCATATAAATAAAAAAAATCGCTTTGAAATGGTTTGTTTTCTATGTCTTTTAAATTTGTATTTTTTTTTATTATAATTTTCTAATAATATATGTTTTTAACAGTTTCCGAACCTTGATAAAAACATTAAAATTTATAAAACCGACAACTAAGGACAAGTCGCTTGCTGCATGACGTCAACTATTGGCATTTGCCAACCGGACAAGTGTAAGACCTTGTGACTTGTGACAATACTGAGCTCCAATCAAACACATTATAATAAAAGAATAATGCAGTTTATCGGTTCGCAACAACTAAATACTTTATAACTATCACGCAAAACTCCATTACGTCAAAAAAAAAAACAAATATATTAGCTGCAAGAATTGAAATAGATAATGCCAACATCCAAATAGGTTTTATATATTCAACCTGAACTGTCACCAAATAGGTTGTATATCTTTAAATGAATTAATTATGAATTATGATATATATAATTTGCTGTGTGATCGGGAGTGTCGACGTTTTTATAAAATCGCGTACAGTTGAGTCTAACTGAGTCACGTATAAACATCCTGCGAGGCGCGACTGTAAAAAAAACCACAGCTAATCGACGGTCATCGCTCCTCGGCTCAAAATATTATGTTTATTACGTTTTTTAATATCAAAAAATCTATTTAAATTACACATTTAATTAAATTACAAGATAATTAAATATTATAACAATCGCATCAACCGACAAACCTAAATTTTGAATCCTTTTAAAATACAAACTTTTTCAAGTATGAAATAGTATACGGAAAAATAATAAAGGCAAATTTAGATTTAATTCAATACAAAACATCCTTAACATGTTATATTTCATACAATAACTGTAAAAAGCCGCGGTATAATGTTATACTTGTATTATATCTCATTTTATGACGCCCGGCGCCGCTTACGGGAAAGACAACTTCCATAGCTGTTTCGCTGTGTACACAAGTGTTGCCAGTAATCGTCATATTGCCTAATTTGGTACGCGAGCGGTGTCCCACTTCTATTGTTAACTAAAAAGTATTTATATTAGGGTAAGAAATTGTATCTTAAATTCATTTTAAACTCCGCCTACACAATTTCTAAATATTTAAGTTTAGGCTAAGTTTTAAAATTTAGTAGATATACTATAATACTTTGTATAAATTTTGTTAAAACACGTAAATTGGTAGTGAGTAAAGTATCCGAAGCCTTCCGGGAATCATTTGAGAACATTCTAAACTGCCTGGAGCAGCAATCATATTATTAGGTGCATTATAACATTGTGTTAGTTCTGAAACACAGTAATGAACCGCTTCAGGCATCGTAA